TTTCTGTAAATTCAAAGTTACATGAAAATGGTTATATAAAAAAAGCTCCCACTGAGAACCTCTGGGACTGGGGATAGCACATAGCAAACACCCTGACAGATCTTGGTCCATGGCAGCATGCCAGCTGCTGCTCTCCTCCTCCCAGCCCCACTGGCAGTCAGAACTCTGCCAGTCCCGACGGCCAGTCCTGCCTCCTCCTGCTGCCCGCACTGGGCTGGGGAAGTCCTGCTTATCCTTGTGTGGACACAGCAAAGTACGGCCCTGAGACTGTGGCAATGTGCAGGGTGCTGGGGCAGAAACAGAACAGAGCTGGCGTCGTAGTGGCACGCCTTTCTGGCTGTGAGATTCTGGGCAGGATGACTGCATTCTCTGAGGCTCGATTTTGCTCATCTGTAAAATGGGAACAGTCTCTGCAGCACAGTTGAGTGAGACTTGGCTAAAGTGACATAGATCCAGCACCTGCGCTGATCCTACTGCACGAGTACTCACAAACTCTGGTTTTGTTCAACCCGCAGCTTAGCCTGAGTCAGGCACCCTAACGAAACGCCCTCCAGCATCTGCGCAGTTCCTCCCCCAAGCTCTTGCCTTCCCGTCCCTCCTCCAATGTTATTGTTCCTCCTCAACTAAATCACATGAACTGCATTCCCGTCCATCACAGCCAGCCGAGAATTTCCTTCACCCGGAAACCTTCCCAAACTATCCCCTTGTCTCCTGTAATTGTGAGTTGGTGTATGGCAGGTTAACTTGGACTTTTGTTAAGTTTTTCCTCCTCCTGTCCCTTGGGTCAGGGCAGAGCAATTTGGCTTTTTCCTCACGCTCTCCAGTGCTCAGAAACCTCGGGGCTCTCAGGCCACTTGTGGACAAGCCTTACAAAACTCTGCCTTATAATGGAAAAAGAGAAGGAGTCTTTGACTCCACCAGGCTCCTTACTTCCCTCATTAGTATAGGAATTGAGGGCTTGCCTTGTCTTTTGTTTAAACACATAGTGTGTGGGGATAGCCACTCAACTCCATACTCTGTTAAAATTGGGAGTTTCAAGCTTGCAAAAAGGACCCAGTCTGAGTAGGAAAGGGAGTGTGAAGACAGGGATCTGGTCACAATCTACTTGACAAGAAAATCTTTGTGTCAGGAAAGATGGATTTCCTGGTTAAAATAAGTACTTCTCAACCCTCCACCCAAACAAGCACACATACACAGCCAGACCACTCGGGGACGGGAGTCTCTGGGATTTCTCATGGAATCAAAGAGGTCTGCCACTGGGGATGGCAATGCTAGGAGAAAAGGGAAAATTGCAGAGATGTGGAGACGGCACGCTTCCAGCATGGGGGAAAACAGCTAGGTGTTTGCATATGTGTGTCCACGTGTGAGGAGGCGCAGAGAGAACACTATCTGGGAGGTGGGTGGAATTGGAGGTAGATGAAAGAGGACTTTCACATATACTCCATGTAATTCTATGCTATTTCCAATGCTTAAATGAGAGTGCATGCATAGGCCTAGCCGTGGTGGTGCATGCTACTAAGATGCCGTGCTTTACAGGCTGGGACCGTGTGACCGTCCTGGGTTGGAGTCTCAGTCCAGCCTAACGGCCAGGTGTGGCGGTATGCACCTGTGGTCCCAGCTACATGACAGGCTGATGCAGAAGCAGCACAGCACAGCAAGACAGTATCTTACAAAATGCATGCATATCTAACTTACATAATTAATAAATGAGAAAAAGGTTCCCCAAAGGGAAAAAAGTACTGGGGGCACAGACCTAAAAGACATTTCCTTCTTTTGCCATATTGGCTACACGGCCACCTTCTCAGGAGGCTCCAAGAACAAAGCCCCCAGGTGTCCACAGGCACCCAGGGTGCGGGTTTCTGCAGGACAAATGAGCGCAGGTGTGTAAGCAGGTGGAAGGGCAACCAGAACCACTCTGCAATGTGCCTACAGGGTAACAGGTTTAGGACTATGGGGGCTGGGTGGATGGGTGGGCAAAGGATGCATAATGGCCATTACTGTACATAGAGACACACACTCCCATTCTTTGGGGGATAAGGTGTCTGGAACTCCAACACAGAAGCTCTCCACACAGAGCAAGGCTCCTACTCAGCAGACAAGCAGTGTCTACTGGTGCTAATCCAGTCATAAATGTGTGTTTGTATTCTATGTAGATAAAGCCTTTTCTGCCAGCCCTGCCCCCACCTTTAGTCCTAACTGACCCCCCGACCCCTGCTCCCCCTAAGAGGGACCAATAGCAATTTCCAGCCTCTGTACCACAGAGAACCTTGCTTTCCTCCTGGGTGGCAGACGTACTCTGGAGATGCTGGCATGAAGGCCCCTGAGGTGGACCCATACTTAAGAGGCAGCAGGGGACTCAACTTCTGCTTCTCAAGACCCACGGTGAGGGGCATGAGGCTTCCTGCTGGTTTCTAGCTGACCACACACTAGACAGCTGAGGCTGGCTCCCACCCCTGAGATTCTAATTTAATCAGTCTAGGGTGCGGACCAGGCAGCAGTGGTTTACAAGCTCCCCAGGTTGGGGCCAGCAGGTGGCATAGAGGTTAAGGTGCTGGATTCCCATGTGGTCAACTATGGTTTGAGTCCCAGACCTGGTGGCTTGAAACTCACACTGGGCACGTGTGTGTATGTGCCCACAATTCCAAAAGGAGAATGGAGTAGAAGGGATCGTGACATGGTCATACCCCCTAGGGGGTGATTTCTCACTTTGTCTGTCTCTCCAGCGAGTGTACACGTCCTATATCAAAAACAAACAAATAAACAAAAACTCTCAAAATAGTAAAAAAGAAACACGCAGCCAGGCTTTGGAGCCGCTACTCCAGGTTAACGATGACAGCCTGACAAAGGTTTTCCACAGCCTTCTGTGCTCTGGGGCAAAAGCCCAGCCCTTGTGTCTGCTCATTGTCTGAGGCTTGTTTTCCTCTCCCACAGCTGTCCTCTGACCCTGCCTCACCTCCCTCAGGATCTCACTGGAAAGGGTAAACCAGAGATCCAGCTCAAACCCCACTGCTGCCTCTGTCCCCAGGGGAAGGGAACATCCACGTCACAGCCCGACTCACTATGGCTCATGTTCTTCTAGGATTCACAACCTTCTGCCTTCGTTTTCCCATAACTCGTAGAGCATAGACCCATTTGGGGGAAAAAACAAACAAACAAAAAAACAAGTTAACCCATCCTTCCCAGATTTTTCTTAGAATCATTTATTAGATGAATTATTTATTAATATATTAAAACTACTTATTTAAAATGATTTATTAATGATTTAAATTACTTGTTAACTTGCTTAATAAATAGTTATTTTTTGTTACTAAATGACTATTTTCACAATGTGAGACTCCCTATTTTGGTTAGACATCCATGAGAGATTATCATTCTAATTTGGCCACCCCAGCCTAATATCCCGATGGCCTGGCTGATGTATAGTCAAGGAACCCAGGTTCAACATCAGAAAAATAAATACGTTATGTAGAAAAGAGAAGAAATAAGAGACTAAAACTAAGTCACAGAACTCTGCCCTGTAATGGAAAAAGAGAAGTAGCCGTTGGCGCCATCAGACCCTGACTTTCCTCTTAGTGGAGGAAGTCAGGGCTTGCCTTGTCTTTTGTGTAAAACAATGTGTGGAATCTCCAGTCACTCTGCTCTCAGAACTGGAAGTTTCGAAGAACAGTTCTGCCGATAAAGCTAGTCCAATAATCAGCTGGGGAAGCCAGGGCTGCATTATGACTTTTGAGGACTCCAGGCTCATCTTCCTTCATGGGCCCCTTACTCCACTTAAAAAAAAAAAAAGATCTTCTATATACAACTATACATGTAGTTGTATAGATATAGTGATACATATAGATAAAGCTATAACTCGATAGAGATACACACAGAATTATTATTTTATGACTGCATTGGTGCAAAGATGGATATATTAATATTATGAATTAAAACACTGTCTTTGATCTGTACGTCGATTCTTTTCTTCTAGTTTATAAGATGTTACAATATTCTCGTGGGCCCATAGAAGCATCGTGGACCCTACTAGGGACTGTACCTAGTGGCTAACGGGCCTGAGGGAAGTCCAGATCCAAGAAGAGGGCGGTGGCTGTCCACACCAGAGGCAGCTCCTTCTCCCCACCCCCAACCCCGGCTGTTCAAACAGCACTGCAGCTGGATTCTGAGACACTAGGAAAGGCTCCCCCGAGCAAGGCACAGCCGTCATCCTGAAAGGGAACCTGGAGCAGGCCCGGGGTAGGCCCTGAGGGAGCGCGCAATGGAGGAGGGAGGACGCAGACCCATGCCCTGCCCTGAAGTGGGAAGACAGGCGGTGGAGGAGGCGGGTGCTGTGGGAGCTCGCAGCGGGGAGGGTTACCTGGAGCTGAGGTGGAGAAGAGCTGAGGGATGGTGTGGCTTTTCAGCGGGAGTTTGCCAGAAAGGCCCCCCACGGAGAGAGATGCCAGAGCAAAGGACTGAAGGAAGGACCGGGGACCCCAGTGCACAGTGAGGATGCGCTAGTGTGGCTTGAGTATAAAATAGGGGTAAAGGAGGGGTGTTGGGAGGCAGAGCTGTGGAAGAGAGGCAGAGGTTGGGCCACACGAGGGACCACGTGTGTACATGCGTGGTAGGTGTGTCCAGGGCGCTAACATGCGAGAGACTGCCTTATGCAGGGTTTGGTGGGTGTGATTATGGATTAGAGAGATCCCTGGCAAGACAGGACCACAGAAGAGAGACTGGGAGAAGCTCACACACAGGTCTTGTAGAAGTGAAAAGGGTCTGAGGGAGGCTGAGGGGCTGGGTAGGAGGACGAATGAAAGCTGTGCCCCCTCCACTATAGATAGGCTGGGGGGGGGGCAGAAAGGTGAACGGCTCCATGCCAGGCGTTCACAGGCACCCTAGGGTGTGGGCAGAAGCCAGCCTGGGAGGAGCCCGGGCACAGGGGTGACCAGGAGGCAGGGGCTCTGGCACGCCCAGCCCTGGCCTGCCCTGCTGTTGCCTGGGAAAGCTGAGCAGGTACTCACTCTCTGTTCCCAGCACTGGAGGAAGCGAGCTCTTGGGCCTCCGGGATTTCATCTCCGGGGCCTTGGCATCTGCACTGGCTGGAGCATCTGGAACAAAACAGGTAGCACACATGAGCAGTCAAATTCCCACTTCAACCGAAATGAATGCCCACCCCGGACCCCCTTCCTGCTTGGAGGGCCCTTCAAACCTCCAGGGAGAAGGAGCCTTGTGGCCAGGCGCCTTGCTCCAGGAGCGCCATACAAGGAGAGGCTGTCGCCTGGCCTGATAAATCAGGTGGAGAGAGCGTGGTCATGAGGAGATGGATGACAGGCTCCACGGGAGCTGGTCGGCTCTGCCCTCTGCAGCCCACGGCGCCAGAAACCATGGCGTTGGCAGTGCGGTGCAGTCGGCTCACCTCTGCTCACCTCGCACGCCTTTCTCCTGCATTGGGTCTGACTCACTCAGGCTAACAGTTCCAGATAGCCAAAGGGCTGCTCTGCGTAGAGAGCGCTCCTGCACAGTGGAAGAAAGAAGGGCCCCCTGTCCTTGCGTTCGAGGCCTGGAGGGGGCTTGCAGCCTCTTCTCACGGACTTTGTTCTACAGACCGGTACTGTGAGACTAGCCCAAGGCCTTGGGGCAGGCCGCTGGCATGCCTCATCCCCTCTGAGACTGAGTCTGGGACCCTTCACGGGGCCTCTGCTCTCCCTGCTATGCAGTGAAATTCACAGGGCACAGCTGGTGGGCATAGAGGGCACAGCTGCCAGGCTTCCAGCGCCAGGCTCCTTTCAAGTACAGAGTGCTGGTGACTCCAGAGAAGAGCTGCCTTGTTGGAGCAGCAGGGAACATCACTGTGCTGGTGGGAAAGTGGAAAAGGTCCTTGCTGGGCCCTGGGAGAATGGACCTTAGGAAGTTGTGGGGAGGGCCAGCCTATGGCATGGTGGTTAAGGCGGCAGGATCCCACACGATCACTGCACAGTTTGAGTCCCAGATGAAGCAGCTTGGGAAACATGCAGGATATGTGTGTGTCCAGAATCCCAGTTCTAGTCCCGGACCCGGTGGCTTCAAACTCATGCCGGGTGCATGTGCATACGTGCCCAAGACCCTGGAAGGAGAATGGAAAAGGGATTGTGGCATGGCCATTCCCCCTTGGGGGTGATTTCTCACTTTCTCTCTGTCTCTCTGACAAGTGCATGCACTCTGTAGCAACAATCTCTCCAAAAAAAAAGGCCTGCCTGCATGCGCTACAAACTACCAATCAAAAAAAAAAAAAAAAAAGAATCCCCAAAGGAGGGAGAGATGGAGGAGGGATTGTGGCGTGACTGTCTCATGCCGGGTGGGGGTGCTGGGTGCTTTCTCCTCTCTCTCCAGTGAGCACACATGCCTCTGGCAAACTGGAAAAAAACATGTGGTGGGGAAACCACCCAGGGAATGGATAAGGAGTTGGCTGAAGGGCTATCGCTGTGCTCCAGCATTGTCACCAGCCTTCCTTTCTGCCGCAGGAACTTCTGCGGGGACAGTGCTGGGAGGGAGCCCCCTTCCTGTCCACACTCCCCCACACCTCCTGAAGAGAGGAAGCTCGGAGGGAGGAAGGGGTGGGGGTGGGACTTTCCAGCCTAGGCTTCACCACATTCCTGTGGCTTGGCTGGGCCGGCGTCTCCTGGTCCCACGTCCAGGATGGGCAGGCCTGGCCGCTCTGGTCTAGACTGGGCCACTGGACCTTTGAGGCTTGGGCACAGAGAGAGCAGAGCAGAGGGCTGGGGGCAAATTCTCCCCTAGCATGTGGGCTCTCTGAGCTCCAGTTGGACACAGTTGTACTGCTAGGCGGCATCTGGGCCCTTGCCTGCTCCAGGTGTCCATCTGCCCATATCAATGCCTCTCTGTGCTGGTTCTGAGGACGAACACGAGGCAGGCCATCAGGCTTCCTTCCCTGACACCTGTACACCTCCCTCATCTCCTAGTCCAGGGATGGAGGCCTCTGGCCCGCTCTGACAGGCTCAGCAGCAGCTCGGAGGTGGCAGGCCTCTAGGGCTGGGGGAGGGGAGGGGATCCCCTACAGAAAATGACCAAAAGTCCTACACGCGTGGCCACAGACGTGATTAAGTGTAGCCTCTGTAGGACTTCCAGGCAGTGTATGACAGAAGACGGGTGAAGGGAGCCGAGCTGCACGGAGTCCTGTAAAACAGCCCTTGAGAACCCAGCCCGCCCTGCTCCACCCCCACTGCGGGTTATCCTACCCCTGCCACCTTCCGAGAGAGCCAAGAGCCCCAGTGATGGCAGGGGCCCCCACCATCTGGAGCTGCCACCGTCAAGCCTGAGTGCAGGTCCTCGGGGGACTGCCCGCACCCCAGCACCAAGCACAGTTTCCGTGTGGACACGGTGGAGGGGCAGCAGCTCCGAGGGGAGGGGACAACCCCGTTCTCCCACACAGGATGCTTTCCCCAGAGACCGCGGTCATCCTCGGCTACAGAAAAGTCCTCTCTACGGAGTTGTCAGCTTTGTTCTTGGGCTCCGCGTCACATCAGAAACACCTCTACCGAGGCACTCACACCTGGGTTCTGACTTAATTGGTGTGGGTTGGGGCCTGGGCAGCGATATATTCCAGCAACTCCAGAGATGATTCTAAAATGTCACCAGTGAAAACTGGCCCCTCAAACGTGCATGTGTGAGTGTGAGTTCGTAGGGCGGTGAAGGGAAGGGGCTCAGGGACTATTCTGAGAGCCAGGAAAAGCTGTCAGTCCTTCCCCTTGATATGGGGTGGGGGTGGGGGGCTCGGGAGGCCATAAGACAGGGATCTAAGCTTCCCTCATCCTGGGTCTTCCTTTCCTGCTTCCTCAAGACCAGCATGCCAACGGTTACAATGTAAAGGAAGGTGCACCCAGAAATGTTTGTCACTTTCAAAGGAGCGGGAGGAGAGGGCGATCGGGACATAGCTGTGCATTCCTTGGCTTTAGCTCTCTCTGTCCTGGTGAGTCTCAGAGAGTAGAGGTGTGAGAGGGCATAGTTCATTTTGTTTTTGCTGATGGCTAAAGCACCACCGCAGCAGGGACGAGAGCAGTGTTCTGGTTTTGGATTTTAAGCAAACAGCTGAAACTGCCCTATGTCTCTGCTTCCACGCCTGAACAAAGGAAATGACTGTTTTTCTCCACCTTGGCGTTCCGAGGCCTGAAGGAGAGAATGCACGCGGCAGTGTTTTGGAGAGTGGAAAATGATCATGTACCCGTGAACGTGTTCCTCCTGTTAACTGCATTTCCCCTTGCCTTCTTCTGAACCAGGGCTTCCTCCACCTTCAGGAAGCCCTCCCTGACCAGTCCCTGTCCACCTCTGCATGCCTCCTAGGGCTGAGATGCTGGGTCTTCCCTGGATGTGTGAGTACACTGCCCGTGCTGGGCTCTGAACTTGTTTTTAGGTGTTCCCGTGTATCACATCTTTCCATCTGAGAGACTCACGTTTCCCTTTCAAACTAGGCCCAGCCCAGACTTGGAGCCCCACAGGGTGGCCCAACCCCACCCGGTGAAGTGCCAGAACTGTGGGGGCCGCGCACGCACCGGGGAGCCTGGCAGGGCTGCTGAGCCACTCGGCCTCCGTGAGAACCACATTCCTTGGCTTTAGCTCTCTCTGTCCTGGTGAGTCTCAGAGAGTAGAGGTGTGAGAGGGCATAGTTCATTTTGTTTTTGCTGATGGCTAAACTGAGGCACATGCAAAGGATAAGAGGCCCAGTTTTCCTGATTCTTAAAAGACAGGCAGCAGGGACTGAGAGTCCTTCTCCCCAGAGGGCTTTGGCAGGACTTTCGTTCCGAGCACCACCGCAGCAGGGACGAGAGCAGTGTTCTGGTTTTGGATTTTAAGCAAACAGCTGAAACTGCCCTATGTCTCTGCTTCCACGCCTGAACAAAGGAAATGACTGTTTTTCTCCACCTTGGCGTTCCGAGGCCTGAAGGAGAGAATGCACGCGGCAGTGTTTTGGAGAGCGGAAAATGATCATGTACCCGTGAATGTGTTCCTCCTGTTAACTGCATTTCCCCTTGCCTTCTTCTGAACCAGGGCTTCCTCCACCTTCAGGAAGCCCTCCCTGACCAGTCCCTGTCCACCTCTGCATGCCTCCTAGGGCTGAGATGCTGGGTCTTCCCTGGATGTGTGAGTACACTGCCCGTGCTGGGCTCTGAACTTGTTTTTAGGTGTTCCCGTGTATCACATCTTTCCATCTGAGAGACTCACGTTTCCCTTTCAAACTAGGCCCAGCCCAGACTTGGAGCCCCACAGGGTGGCCCAACCCCACCCGGTGAAGTGCCAGAACTGTGGGGGCCGCGCACGTACCGGGGAGCCTGGCAGGGCTGCTGAGCCACTCGGCCTCCGTGAGAACCACAGGCAGCGGGCTGGAGGGACCATGCGCTTAATCAAAACCAGCTTTGTGCTCACACAGCTGCCCAGGGGATAAAAATAATAGTAATAAAATTTAAGAGCAGCTTGTATTTTCTGTCTATTTTAATCATTTTGTGATGAAATTGAACTCCATTTCTAGATCTGGGCCCCAGGGCTGGAGTCCTTTGCTGGCCTGGTTGTGCCCCCAAAGAAGTGTGGGGGGAGGGAGCTGGAGGTGTGGGGAGTGGGGGCCTCTACGCAGAGAGGAAAATGTGTCCTTATATGGACAGCGCCTCACCCCTTCCACTCCTGAGCTAGCTCTGGACTCAAGCCCTCCAGGGCAGCATTTTTTCCTTTGTCTCCCCCAAGAGGTTGGTTCTCTGAGCTCTATCCTAAGCAGGCGGAATGAGGCCTTGGGAATCTCCTGGGGCTAGATGGGAGCCCCTGGACGGGGCAGGGCAGAGGGGCTGGGTTTCAGTCTCTCCTTGCTTGCTTCTCTGCCCACCCGAGGGCAAGCAGCACACCAGCATAGTGAGAGGGAGATTCCTCCTTAGGAAATGGAGCGTCTTTCTGTTGTGTGATTTAGTGGATGTGAGTCCTTGAGCAAGTTTCTGAACTTTTCCGAGCCTGGCCTCCCTTATCAGGAGGGAGAATTCACAGAAGAGTGAAGGTGAAGTGACTGAGTCGGACAATAATAATCCATGCATATACACTAAGTGCTTTATATGCTCCTAGCAGGTTGAACCAT